TCCTCTTCCCGCGTCTACGGAGGGGGTGAGCGAGGTGGTGGTGCTTGGCAGTCAGGAGACGGGGGCGACGAAGCGGAAGCGAATGCGGCGGACGAGGGAGAAGGACGCCCTCGCCGGGGTGGGGGAGGGGGAGGGCGGCGGCGAGGCCCCGTCGGCAAAGAAGAGCCGAAAAGCGGCCACGCCGGGGAAGCGATCCAAGGAAGGGAACCTCGTGCAGGCCCGTCTGGAGGACGTGGTCGGCGAGCTCGCCGCGGCGAATCATCCCCCTTCCAGTGGCGTGAAACCCGAGCCTGGGGCGCCGTTGCCGAAGCACGAGGTACCGCCGCCGAAGCCGGAGGAGTACGTCTACCCCCCTCTGCGGGCTTTGCTTCCCGCAAATGAGCAGCACCGCGCCAACCTCCTTTGGATGAGTAAATTTAAAGAGTCATTTGAGAGTCCTTTGCCGCTGGCAGATCAAGGGCAAACGGCGGATCGTGTGGATCCGAAGCCATCAGGCGCGCTGCCCGCGTGCGTAAACGCGATACGTCTTCCGCTGGTTCAGATTCAGCGGCGCTTAAATCCGGAAAAGAAGGCCTCTGGTAGGGTTGCGAAAGAGGAGGGTGGGGAGAGCGACGATGGAACGACGCACACTCGTGCCAAGGCTAACCCGGCCTTTGGCGAGAATGGAGCGCCGTCGGTGGGCGGCGAGGGCACGGAGGAGGAGCCGATCCCACCGAAAAAAGCCTCTGGGAAGGCGTCGCCCGGCTGCCCTGTTGGCGCGAAGGTCTACACCTTGATGGTCCACCCGCTTCAGCTCTTGGAACCGCTTACAAGCGCCTCGGGGAAGCGTCTGACGAAGTTCCTCTGGCAACACACCAGCGAGCGGACCAAAGTGGAGCTGCTTCGCTCGGCCACCGCACGTGGCAGTGGGGGGGAGTCCTCTAAAAGGGAAGCGACCGTGCGGTCTGCCACCCTACCAGGGGCGGATCCCAAACCCCCGACGGTTTCCAAACCGACGCCAGAGGCTGAAGCAACAGAGGCGCCCATTTCTGAAAATCCCACTCTTTGATGGGGTTGACTAGGCGGGGAACCTGGTTGAGAGGAGGATAGCGCGTTCATATTTCGTGCATGAGTCGGGGGACCACTGAGGCTTAGAAGGAGACAAAGGCCCTCCCCTCCTTGTCCAAGAATATTCTGTGATCTACTGTGACCTTTTACCACATTCTTTTGCTTTCTCCGGCACCAATTTCTATGAGATAGAGGGGGATATAGGAGGGAAACATAGATAGCTATAGAGTTCTTTTCTGCATGAAAACCTTGTGTGTGGATTGCGTGGTGCGACCGATTAAATACTTATTCGTCATGGTGACCGAAACCACAATCGTTTCGTTATTACTGTTTTATCGTATTTTTTCGTGGTATCCACACTTTGGGATTGCTCTAAATATTTCTTCTTTCATTTATTTTCTTATTTTCCATAGGACCGAAAATTTTGTGCAGATTTCTGTCAACCGTTTTACTCGTTTTTCCCTTCGAGGTGGTGGTAAGAAGGAGAAGGAAAATTAAAGCTGAGTGTGATGGGGGGTCGTAGTTTTGGAACACAAAGTTTCGAAAATAAAGCGAGAACTGGATAGGGAAATAACCAAGACCATATTTAACTTTGAGATAGGAGGCTCTAAAGAATCTGAAAAAGGGGAGGGTCCAAAGACGCACGCTGCAGCACAGTGCATATATACCTTTATGATCTTTTCACGTAGCTATTTACGTCTGGAAAATAGCTTCCGAAGCCGTTCCATTTCAAGCTGCTCCCAGCTGCTGATCACCAAAAAAGCAGTCTACTTTGATTATGTCGGCATAGACGTCAGTGGGCTCGTCGGGAACGCCCTCCGTCTTGCCAAGAGCACCGCCAACGAGCAAAGGCGGCAACGCGAGGTGGGTCGGCAGGTTTTGCACAGCGTCCAGCAGCTGCTGCGGAAGATAAACTGCAAAAAATCCTTGCTGTTCGCCATGGACGGTGCCGAGTCCCTTGCAAAAGCCTGCGTAACGCGGAGGAGTTCGTTTAGCCGCCGTCTCGAGAGCCGCCTTGTGCGGCTTCCCGGCACGACTCTGATGCAGACGGTGGAGGAGTCTCTGGTGCGGATGATGCCGGAAAACCAACTTCGCCTGCTGCCCAGTGAAGTCGTCATCTCTGGTACCGGTGTGTCGGGGTGCGTGGAGGAGAAATTCTCTGCCTGGGCCCTCGATTTGGCATGCCGCGAAGGGTTCAATGCGAATCAGGACTCGCTCTGCCTCATCGGCTCCTCTGAGCTTTTCCTCAACACTCTTGCGATGACCCCCTACTACGATATCCGTAGCGTCGTCCAGGGCACGTCGGATATGAAGCAGACCACGATGTCCTCACTGTTGGAGTGGTTAGAATTGGACGGATTTGCAACCAAGGGAGATAGCACTCTTGTGGCACGCGCTCGCACCGATGCGCTGTTTCTGTATTTAATCTGCAGTGGATGTACGGCGACAGAGCTGCCATCATCTTCCCACGCCCGCTTTTCTATTTTGTGGGATCGCTACTACACCCGTTCCTTTGAGCGTTCCCCCAAAGGTGAATCCTCAGCGGGGGCGAAACCGACTCCGTCTGGCGGCTCTCAGGATGAGAACGCTTCCTTTTATCTGTTCACGGATACCCCTGATCACATGCTTGAGTTGGATCTGGAAAACTTCTTCGAGATCCTAGGTTTAGTCTCGGCGGATACGGTTGTAGAGGAGGTGAGAGGTGGGAGCCGTGGAGTGTCAAAGAGGAACGCCTCAACTCCCGTAGCCCCCCATGCCACCACTTCCGTTTCGTTGACTGGGGCGGGCAACGACACGGCCGCAGGGGGTTATCTCGAGCACGCTCTTCAAAGCCACGCGATGTTTTGTTTAGGCTACACTCCCAACCCCTTCTATGTGCCCCCCAACTACGACGGCCTCGGCGACGCGCAGGAGAGGGGCGTTCCGATCCGTCAGCTGGCGTTGCACCTGAAGGCCCTAATCGCGCGAGGCGTGCGGAAGCTGAGGGCGAGGGTTCCTTCCTTTCAAGAGAGAGGTCAGGGCTTGGCGTCTTCGGATAAGGGGTCGTTACAAGAAGAATCCGAGTCGATTTCGCCTGCGCAAGATCGTGTAAAGGAAGGGGAGATGAGTAAAGAAGGCGCGTCATCCATGTCGTCATCTCCGCCTGTAGCAGATGAGGCTCGTGAGTCCGGCGAGGCCGGTGGGGCGCTGGAGAGCGGCACCTCTTCCACTCCATGCCTTCCTTCTGATGTCAATCAGGAGAATCCATTTTGGTCGCCGATCCAGCCCCTTACTGCGGCAGAGTACACGATTCTCTGTCAGGTTCAGCAACCTAACATCGAGAGTGGCTTGCAGCTTTACGTGGGCAGGATGCCGAAGCCGGAGCTGGCGAAACGCATCCTGCGGACCACCGACATTCGCACCGCCCATCAACTCGTTCAGGAGGCACTCTCCTACGCCGATCCGGAGCGCCCGCATAAATGCCTCTGCCTTTCCCCCTCCTACTGCTGGTTGCAGAGCGATAAGACCAAGTTATGGCGGATGGAGTACGTTGATATCGGTGTGTTGGCGCGTGCGCAGGGGATTCGTCGCGTGCGGAACGCCATTTCAGGGATGTCGATGGAGTTGCGCGCGTCGGAAGGGGGGTCCGCCTGGTTTGACTTCCAGACGCAGCTGTGGCAGCCCATCCCTCGCTTTCCCTGCGGCGGGGAGGAGCCGATTCCCGACGCGGCCGAGGCGGCGACGGACTCGGAGCCAACGCGAGCCCCCCCCCCCTCCGAGGACCCCCGCGAATCGCGTGATTCCGGCAAGACGATCAAGGTGCTGACGTGGAATGTGATGTTTGACCGATACAGCGGCCAGCCCACCCCCCTTGGGATGCCCGGGATCGATTGGTGTTCCCCCCAGCGCTACCCCGTCCTCGCCAAGTGCATCGCGGCGGAGGATGCGGATGTGGTGGGGATGCAGGAGGTGGAGCCCGCCTTTCTGCGCTACCTCGCCGCCCAGCGGTGGTGCCGGGAGGGGTATTTCCTCTCCTGCACGGAATCCAGCCCGGTGATTCACCCATGGGGGGTCGCCATGCTGATCCATCGCCGACGTCTGCCGGTGGTGGAGCTGACGCACGTGAACGTGCCGGCGTGGTCCGGCCACGTCTCTCTCATGCCCGTCGTGACGCTGCGGATGAGCGAGGGGGCCACCGTCCACGTCTCCGCCGTCCACCTCCTCGCCCCGTTCACGAAGGCCCACGAAAACGCCCGGACCGCGCAGGATTTGGCGCTTCGCCAGCGTCTCGTGAAGAGCGTCCCGGCGACTGGGGATTCCATCGCGATGGGGGACTTCAACGACTACCCGGGAAACGAGTTCCTCATGCCGAGGGAGACGCAGTACCTGGAGTGCTGGCCTATGCTTCATCCGCAGGATCCAGGGAGAACGATGGACGACACTAACACCTTCTGCAAGCTCAAGGTGGAGGAGATGTTTTTCGGGCGTTCGGACAAGATCTTTTTAAGGAGCCGGCGGCTGGTGCCGATCGAGGCGCATTTGGTGGGTACTAAAAGCGTGAATGAGGAAAATGGCGATGGGGCGGCTCCAGCGTACTTGTTTCCTTCGGACCACTACGGTGTTAGCATGACGTTCGCTCTGAAGAGTACGCCCTAGTACCTCGGACTGTTTTATCTTTCTGGGTGCGCACGTTTGTGTGTGCGGTTGGTGAGCATTTTTCCATACCCGCTTCCCGAGCAATGCGGAATAGCCCTTTTTGTGGAGGAACCATGCCACTTGGTTTGCGGAATTGGAGATGGTAGAGGGAGAGATAGTGTTAATTCCTTTTATGAGCACCGCACTCACATCTTTTTTTCTCTTCGCCTTTATTAACTTTTTTCCCTTTTTTCTTTATATATAAAAGTATTATAATGCATCAAGGGACTTTGTGTCGTTCGTTTAGCCGGTCTTCCAATCGAAATGGGCTTCTGCCAATACGGGGAGTAGCTCGTGCTGCTTCCCACAACCTTTCTGGGCGTGTTCTTGCGTGCGAGTGGTCCACATTTCGTTTTGATTTTCGGTCTTTCTGCCGATTTCGTATGAATTGCTTAAACGTGCCAAATGGTTTTACGATTCCTCTGCTTACGTCACATCGATGCACTGCGTCTTTTTCGGACAATCAACCGCATGGAGGTGGGAAATCCGGGCGAGATGCGGGGTTCACCACGGACCAACTCGGCGGCAGTGAGCCTGGGATGGCTGATGTGCCGGATTCGAGCTTGGGAATGGACTATGAATTCGATCCCATGGCCAGCATGCAACACGATGTGGCGGTGGATACTGCGAAAAAAAGTTTCGATCGCGTCCTCTATGAGCTGCTCCCCCCCAACCCGCCGTCCTCTGCGGTGGATAAGGTGAGGCACTACCTGCAGCAGCACCCTATCGACATCCTCATCACCCAGCCACGCGTCCAGATTACTCACCTCGAAAAATCGGAGACCGGCCAGGAGGAAAAAGTTTCTCTTAGGCCGGTACCCCTTTCCGAGGCCTTGGCGGAGGCTCAACAGCGGTCGATGAATTTAGTCCAGATGAGCACACGCGATGACCTGGCGTTTTGTCGGATCCGAACGGAGCGGAACCGGATCATGAAGCTGATAGAACCCGATATGCAGGAGTCGGCGAGTGCCATGACCGCTGGTGGTGAGCACGACCGCGCGCGTAAAACCAAAAAACTGATCGAACATAGCTTTCGCGACGCCGTCGATGCTCACTTTATTGGCTGGAAGAGCCGGAAGATATGCGAGGATATGCGGAAAGGCCACCCCGTGAGGATCAGCATTAAAGAATTTCAATCCGTCGAGTCTGCGATGCGAAAGCTGCGGGAGATGTGCGAGGCTATCCGAACCCATGCGGAGGGGAACTCCATCTACCACCATGTGACGAGTATCGTGGGCAACGAACGGGAGGCGAGCGTCTCGCTCTCGCCCGCGGTGCCGTCCAAGACGGTGAAGCACCCCGCGGAGAAGGAGTGGGCGCACGCGCAGAAACGAATGGAGGACGCGTGCCGCAAGGCGGGCCGCCTCGGTACGTACTTCAAGGACGGCCGTCTAAAGCCTCGCAACATCGGTGCGTCGTTGTATCGCGTCGACAAGTACGGTCGGCGTGTGGACTAGGCGGTAGAATCTCTATTCAATGACAAGGGAGGAGGGGGGGGTCGAAGGTGGGGGCCGTCATGGCCTCTCTCGGATGTTTGGAGCAAGTTGTGTGAGGGTTTAGTTCACACAACAGCTTCTTCCCTCCCCCCTCCCCCCTATGAAGAGTTTATTATTGGGATTATTCTACAAAAGAGAAGCGAGGCTTGATTGGGAAACTTTGATAAAGGTGTCATTTAGTACTCATGAGGGAGAGTGTCTTTGAGAAATTTTAACACTTGCATAGCGCTCACTTTTTATCGTTTCTTTGAAATACGCGTAGAGTTAGACTAGTTATAAAGTGCTACACTCTAAAAAACCGTTAAATCCCGCGCCAAATGCTCTGATGGCACTTTCTTTAAGTCGATTTACAGACAAAGGAGACAAAAAAGAGTCACGGTAAATTCATGTCTGGATTGAATCTTGTGAGCACATATTGACCAGGATATGGCCGACAGCTTTTTGGTATTGGTGCATTTTTCTTTCTTAATGGTCTCATGAGGAAAGTGAGTCTATTATTGACAACATTACGCAGTACTCTTTTTTTTTCTCAAGCCAAAATTGAAGAATATTCATAATAATAGCGACTGAACCAAAGCACGGTGCTTTTCTCGTTATTATCATTGATATTTATTTAATGGTGCCAACTGAGAATGCTTCCCCGGAGCGGGCCTCACCTCCTGTCGAGGCGGCACCTGAGCCTGTGAAGACGGGGTCCGTTTTTACCGTCCAAAACACGCGTTCGGGTGCGGCCCCGCCGGCGCCGATTCGCCGCGGCCGCGGTACTTTTTCCCACTGCCTTCACACCGAAGAACTCGAGCGGCAGCCCCCTAGCGAGGCCGCGAGCTCCGTCCTCACCGGGATCACCACGAGCGTCGTCCTGCCCTCCTCGCAGCTCTCGAGGAACGTCGCGACGGAGGAGGACGAGGGCGACCTCGCCGTTCCCGCTGCGTTTCTCAAAAAGGATATCCCGATGAATATGCCCTCGCAGCTCGCCCCGGCGGTGAATGTGGGGCGCGATCACCTCTTCGGCGGCGTGCTCGGCCGTGTGGAGCCGATGCGGACGGCGGATACCGTCCGTCAGCTGCTCTTCCGCGGCGAGAAGCGGCGTCGATATTGCGTTATCGTTGGCAACCTGCAAAGCGAGAAGAAGGAGGTGATCCTCAAGCTCTTCGGGCACCGGGGGAACAAACCATTCAAGCTGCAGAACAAACTCATTCGTCTGATCAACCTATCTATTGGGAGGCCGCGGGTTCGGCCGGGGGAGGTGGAGGAAGGGGATGCAATCACCGCCGGTGGTGAGGGCGGGGAGGAGCCCAGGCGGGATGGGAACGCAGCCCAGGCGTCCAATTCGGTGGTTGAGAGGGGGGGTGTCGAGGCCACGGAGAAGGCGCTGAAGGATGTTTTCGATGGTGAACGCCCCGAAACGGATGGTGAGGCAAAGCTTGTGAGTATTGAGATCCCCAACGCGAACGCCGAAATGGAAGCGGAAGCCCCCGATCCCACGACGACCGACGGGAAGGATGGCGATAATGCGGCGATACCGGCCTCGGCGGCGAGCATAAAGCCGATCACTACACGAGAATCATCCGATGTCGTCTTTGATGAGATCAACGCACGCCACATTCAGGCTGGATTCCCCGGCGTCGGCGAGGACGTGCGTCCCTCGATGGATGGGGATGACAGCTATCACGCGATCCGTGGTGAAACGGGCGGTGTCGGCGACCCCTTCAAGGCGGAAGCCGGCCGGCACAATTCGAACTCCCGGAGCTTCAGCATGGCGAACGATACCAGTGGGGTTTTCCATCAAGACGACGCGAGTGAGCACGGCGACGTCGACCACTATTTTGACGCCCGGGAAGACGAGGTGGTGCCGCTTGTGGTGGAGCGCGGGAACGGCGACCAAGGCCACGACGCCACGCTCAATCAAGAGGCGGGGCTCGCCAACAGTCCGGTGCTGACGTCGAGGTACTTTACCACGCTTCGGGATTACTTCCTACGCGAATTTCGCTTTCTTTTCAGTCTTGAGGATGTGCAGCCGCAGAACGTGTCGGTGAGCATCCACTTCGGTTCGGCGTACTGCTGTCTGGCGCGGCATGGCTCGCACGCGACCCCTCTCAAACATGCCTCCTTCATCCAGTTCGTCGAGCGAATGAACGACGAGTCGATGCAGCTTTACTTTATTAAGGATTGCCCGACGTGCGTCTCGCGCGCGGTGGATATGGAGTGCGGGGCGCTGCACCACGAGGTCTCTCTGACGTTGGTTAAAATTAACTTCTTCTCCAACGAGCGCCAAAGCCGGATGACGGCGCGGGCGGTGTGGGATAGGGAGCTCAACGCCTTTCGGCTGCTGGATATGGAGGGGATGGGCGTCTTCTTCAACTGGACCGTCTTCTCGCTCGACGAGTCGGACGCCATGGCGCCGAAGGATCCGAACGCGCCCGATGATTTCCAGCACACCAGCGGTAGCTTCAGCAACCCTTATGGGGCATCCTCGGCGAAGGATTCCGCCACACGCGAGGGAAGCACTATGGGAAACGAGACCACCACGGGGCAGACATCCGAGGGCCGCAAAAAGACGGTCGCGTACCCTTTTGAGGTTGAATTTAGGGCGTTCCGGCGCTGGAAGCATCATAATCATCACCCCGCCGAGGAGCTCGCAAACGCCATATTGGATAAACTCTCCCTCGCGGAGCACAACCTCATCAACTACGGCTCCAGCGTGGGCTACGAACGCATGGATCTCTCCCACGTTTGCGAGGAGGACTACGCCGCGGAGGACTACAACGTGGAGAGTATTGTGGTGGAGCACACCTCGCGCGTCAAACCCGAGGGGACGGACTTGTTGGTCGACAACACCACCGCCCTCTTCATTGAAAATTTCGCGGCGGCGCGGCAGTTGAAGGAGCAGATTGCGCAATACGGCCCCGAGCGCGTCGCGGCGATGCAGAAGCCGAGCAACAACAACTTCATGCGTGGGGGCAGCACCCCCGCGATGGGGACGAGGCGGGCGCAGAAGATCATCGTCCCGGAGGTCCCTCATCGCGTCGGGCGTGGGGGTATCAGCAAGTTGCCAGACTACATGGAGGAGGTGATTTGCCCGTCCTCGAAGCTGACTTTCTTCCGCTCGCGTGGAACGACGGTTCACTGGAAGTTTCGCCCGAGCTGCAGCGTGGAGGAGAACTTGGCCCCGTTGTCCGAGGCGATGACATTTGTGCAGCAAGTGTTGAGGACCGCGAACAGCATCGAACGCAACGCGGTGAGAGGGGGGGCAGCCCCCGAGGCTCTATAAAATCTTTTGTTAAATTTGTAATGTGCGAGGAAATTGACGTTTAGTGTACCCCCTTCAAACACCAGCTCGCTTAGCGGCTTACTGAGGGGAAACTAAAACGTTGGACTATGGGATGGCTGGACTCTTCTCGTAGGTACTCTTCGACTGTATTACCTTATTCTTTCATATATTGACTGTGAAAAACATCCACAGATCGATGCTGTTTTTTTCCTTTATTGTCAGTACTTCACTGTTCAGTTCTTGTCGTGTGTATAGGAGGCGAATGGCTTCCCCCCAACTCCAACCTCATCTCCGAAACTTTTCTGCCGCTTGATAGAACTCTCACTTTTCGTTTATCCAAAGATCCACACTACAATGACATCTGACTACACATCCTACGTCGAGCTCCAGGAGCAGATCTACACCGCGAAGCACTTGTTTGGTGAGGAGCTGAAAAAAAATCTAAATCTGATCCCTGTTGAATGCCCCCTTATAATTCGTGTGGGAACGGGCATCCAGGACGACCTTTCCGGCGTCGAGAAGAGCGTTAAGGTTGATATAGCCAATATTCCCGAATCAACATTTGAGGTGGTTCACTCCTTGGCGAAGTGGAAACGTCAGAAACTTAGCGATTACAAATTCCCTGTTGGGAAAGGCATTGTCAGCAACATGAAGGCCCTGCGTGTTGGGGAAGTCCTTGATAACGTGCATTCCTTTGTGGTGGACCAATGGGATTGGGAAAGGGTTATCAAACACGAGGACCGTAACCTTTCCTTCCTGAAGAATATCGTTGAGAGCATCTACGAGGCCCTTCGTTCGACGGAGTCCAAGCTCAGCGAGATCTATTCGCACCTCACACCGGTGCTTCCCCCGAAGATCACCTTCCTCCACACGGAACAGCTCCTCGGCAAGTACCCCAAACTCAGCCCGAAGGAACGGGAGCGCGAGGCGACGAAGGAGTTTGGCGCGGTCTTCCTCGTCGGGATCGGCGCGAAGCTTTCCCACGGTGAATCCCACGACGCCCGAGCCCCGGACTACGACGACTGGAGCTCACCGATTTCCTCCGACGAGGCGGTCGCGCACTTCCCGGATCTTCACATGAGCGCGAACGCCTGTGTGTCGTTCCCCGGCCTCAACGGCGACATTCTCGTTCACAACCCCGTCCTGGACGACGCCTTCGAGCTCAGCAGTATGGGGATCCGCGTCGACCCCGAGACCCTCTGCGCACAGCTCGAGGAGACCGGCGACACCGCGCGGATGGAGCTGCCTTGGCATAAAGACCTCATCGCGCGGAATCTTCCGCAGACCATCGGCGGGGGGATCGGGCAGAGCCGCGTCGCGATGTTCCTCCTCCGCAAGAAGCACATCGGAGAGGTTCACTGCAGCTTCTGGCCGAAGGAGGCCTACAGCCAGTATGCACTCCTCTAGGTGCTGTCATCGTGTAAAGGGAGGGTTTCGTAAACGGTGTGGTTCCTTTCGTCTTCCAAGAGTCGTTCCCTTTAGTGTTGACGCCATGGGGCGCGCCTCCTACACGTATACGCGAACCCTGTACAAGGCTGACAGGGAGGGGGGAGTCCTTCACAGAATTGGCTCCCAAGGAGTAAATGGTCTTAGTGCGTGTTTAAATTTTATCTTAATCTTATTGAAACTTTAAAAATATTTTCAGATGATTTAGAAGAGCGTAGTGTTTTGTTAGTGAGCGATATATATATATATATATATATATATACACCTTTTTTGGTTAACGGAACTTAAGCGGATTTTTTGTTATTTTCTCTCCTTTATTGTACATCAATGGTGAGGGGACCGAGAGGCTTGAGCATTTGAGAATTCTTTTTGAGTTTTTTTGTTAAAAGCTTTCTTGACGTGGTAGCAATTGCATTCATAAGCGAAGCTAATACTAACATAAGTTTGCAATTTTTTCTGTAATATTGGAGTACAACTAAAGCCCTAAATAATTCGAAAGCACTTTCGTATCAACACCCCGATATACAGTGTTGTATGGAACGTATCAAGGGGTTTTCGTGTTACGATATGCGTGGTGAATGCACAAACATCGTAGATATATAAAAAGGGAATAACATCTAATAATTTCTTTCCTTAAGTATAAATGTGGGTATGATGGATGGTTAAATCAAGAAACGTTTGCATCGTTCTGAAGAATGAAATCATTAGAAACATAAAAACAGTCCAGAAGGAAAGAGAATAACGATAACAGATTTAGTGCATTAAATAAGAAAATATTTCTCGAATTTTTTTTTTAGCTTATTGATTGTATATATTTTTATTTCAGTGGTGTGTATGGTTGAATATTGCATAATGTTATTTTATGAATTAATTATCCCGATATAAGAAATTATTATTTTAGCTTCTTTTATGATTTTTATGGAGAAATGAGTAGGAGAATGATTTATTTTGATTTCATCATGCAATGAATCATTGATGTACAAAGATTAAAATTAATACACTTTCGAAAATAGCAGCCCCCATGTATACAATTTTATATATACTTGTCTGGATGGTTTTTGTTCAGGAGGGTATTAACCATTACACTATGATTATGCCCTTCAGAGAATAGTCTGAATTTTTAAAATATTTTTATCGCATTTCTCCCTCAATGATCATGGCAAGTAGGCGCATTAATATATGACTAAAGCATCACAGTGGAATTGAACTAACTTGGGTGCGCTATTTTTATCAAATCTTATATTTCTTTTTAAAATACATGGGCGAGAGGAGGGTGTTCGTTCGAGGGTGTCTCTTTGTATGTTAGTGTGCTCCGTTTTGTGTACCTTTTGCTAACTTTTTTGTCTCCTTTTTTTTTTTTTGGAGGATTATACATGCTAAGACTTGCAACAACAAGAGTATTAATTCAATCACACTTCCCTCAGCGCGCTAACATCTCGAAATTCATAATGCCCTCGTCTATCTATGAATTCCAGGTCAACGATGCCGACCACAAGCCCTACGACCTTTCTCAACACAAGGGACACCCGCTTCTCATTTACAATGTCGCCAGTAAATGTGGCTTCGCGAGCGGTGGCTACAAGACGTCGACGTCGCTCTACGCTAAATACAAGGATCAGGGCTTCACGGTGCTCGCTTTCCCTTGCAACCAATTCGCAGGGCAGGAACCCGGCACCGATGAGGAAATCAAAAAAACTGTTTGCACAAAGTTTAAGGCTGATTTCCCTATTATGGAAAAGGTCGATGTCAACGGTAGTAAGGAGCATCCGTTGTTCAAGTACCTCAAACACACTGCGAAAGGTATTCTCGGCACCACTTCGATCAAGTGGAATTTCACATCCTTTTTGATTGATCAGAACGGCGTGCCCGTGTACCGGTTCTCTCCCGGAGCCACAGAAAAGGAAATTGAAAAGAAACTGTTGCCGCTTCTGGAAAAGAGTACCCAAACCGCCCCTGAAGCCCCAAATGGAGATTCCCAAAATAAAGAGTAAAATTAAGAATTGAATAGTTTAGACTTAACATCCTCGCGAATGCGAAGGTTATATTTCAATGCTGAGACGATTTACTACTATATTGTTTTCCCATTTTATACACGAAAATTTGACAAGGGGAACTTTGTACACGTATTTACTACAGATGCTTGTCTATAAACAGGGTAAAGTTAACGTGATTCAAGCACATATATCTATATATATAAATATATATTTTGATAATTTTTTATCTTCTTGCATGCTCAATTCTTTCGGATGAATTACATTTGCTTGAGAAGAGGCTAGTATGGCTAAAATGTCTTAGTCACAGCCGTTTCCCGCATAACCCTCTTCCTATATATATACATATATATATCAATGATTTTTTTTTAAGTCCACTATTGTTTTGTTATGAACTTAAATCTGTCTAAACGTTTCTACTGAGGAGTGAATTTATTTTTCCATTGTGACATTATTGTTGGTCTCTTGAGTTGTTAAAGAGGGGGGACGGAAAATGTGAACCTTTATTTCTTTAATTTCCACGATTTTTACCACATAGTATAATATACGAGCTTCCAACGCACGTAGAGCAGAGCACTTTTTTTTTACAATAGCATCTATTCTTTTTATTCTCGGTAATTATTCTGTTCACGTTCAGTTGTTTATCTTAGCCTTATCTACTTCTGGCCCAAACAACCAAAAAGCGCATACGACACCGTTGACGAGGTGATGAATTCGTTTCAATCAGACTCTCGAGCTTGTACTGACGGGACGTGCCTGGGGAAGGTGTCGGCGCCGCCGCTAACGCACCTTTCGTCTGCATCCGGGAGCACGCACGGGCCGCCTTCCGGGGAACACATCTTGTCGCCCTATAATTCGATCCACTGGAACGGCACCGACAGCACGGCGACGTATTTTTTCCCTACCACTAGCAACAACGGCCGCCAACCAATGTTGGGTTGCCCGGCGGACGAAACCTTTAGCTCGTTGCACCTTCATTGCTCCACTACGATCCCCTCTTTCTCGACGGATGGGAGCGCGCTGGCAAATTCGGTGATAACCGCCGCGCAGCGGTCGCCCGAGTTCGACAACCAACTCACGAACCCCGACCGACCCGATGGGCCCAAGGAAAGCGCAAAAACCGTCTACGACTACCAAGTCTTGGATAGCAATCAAGAGCTTTACGATCTCGCGCAGCACAGGGGCCAGGTACTTCTGATATGCAACGTCGCCACGCGGTGTAAGGAGTATGCGGAGAAGGCATTCACCATTCTCAACACCCTCCAGCACCGCTACCACGATCGTGGGTTCACCGTACTGGCCTTCCCATGTAAGCAATTCGGCACGAGCGAGCTCGGGGGGGAGGAGGAGGTTGCCCAGACGGTGTCGAGCCTTTACCCCGGCATCGGCGATATCACGTTTCCGATTCTTTCTAGAGTGGACGTGAACGGTTCGTATGAGTCGCCGTTGTACACCTACCTGAAGTCTTGCCTCAAAGGAACGATGCGGCAAACTTCCATTAAGTGGAACTTTACTTATTTTTTGATTAACAGACAAGGGGTTCCGGTGGCGCGGCTTCCTCCGGAGACGGAGATGGAGGATATGGAGGCCAGAGTGAAGGAGGCGCTTGGCATACCATCATCCCAAAACAGCTAGGGTGGATTTTGCAAGCCTTAAGCGACGCCGCAAAGCTATGATCTACCGTCGAAGGGCAAAGCTTTTTTTCTTTTTAAAAAGAGAACCTAAAGTGCAACGGAGAATGCACTGCTGGACCCCACCATGGGAGTGAGGGGCAAAAACGACGCCACTTTCTTCTTGAAGTGTTTTTATTCTCATATTCAATCACCTACTAGGGATCGAATATACCTTCAGAACATAGAGGAGGGGGGGGGGGGGGGGGGAAGCACATCATGGATTCAGTGTTTCTTTTGTTGTGGAATAGTATCCAAAAAGGGTATAAACAAAAAGTGGTCATCATTATTGATTTAAGTGGAAGTCAGCGGAAAGAGGATAAACACATTCGGAATGAAACTATCTCTTTAGCGTATGTGTGTTAATTGATTTATATTCAGGAGTGAAGCATTATCAAATATAGTTTCTTTTTAAATCCCTTTCTTTATATATATATGTATATATATATATATATATATATATATATATATATATATATATA